TCTCTCTCTCTCTCTCTCTCTCTCTCTCTCTCTCTCTCTCTCTCTCTCTCTCTCTCTCGTGAGGCTTAGTTCTCTCGTGAGAATATGTAGGTCAGCTACAACACACGCGTTTATCCATGTCCTCGGAGACCTGTGATTCTGTTACGAATCATGTCCTGAGTTCCGATCGATCTCCACACACAGCACCACGTGCAAACGAACACCGTCGGTTCTTCAGAGATCAATTGCGGTCTTGCGTGTAACCCGGACCGCACGTTATACTACATCCAACATGTAGAGCAGCACGACCTACTCCAGCGTACTCCAGCGTATACGACCACAGCCCGGAAGAAAGTGCGCGCATGGGCTTTCGTGTCACAGCCGCAATGCCAACCCTCGCTAAGCTTACAATTTGTCTTTATCAATTCCACCCATCTGAGGAGAAGAGATCGGTGCCGCGCGTCTAGAGTCTGAGCTGTCTTCTGCGACTCGATGCATACCCTCCATTATTAATGAAGGGTATTTGCTGAGCATGCGGCGTGCGGTGTGTTGTAATATAGAGTATTTCGTGTTCATGTATTGCACAGCGTCGAATATAACTCCCGCACCGGCTCTATTAATGTACTTTTGTCCACACACTTAGCACACCTTGGGCATCGGCTGGTGCATCGTTCCCTCGTTCTCTCACGGCTGGAAGGTACGACCCTGAACCACTGCGCGCACTGTCCTCCCTGGACAAGGTGGTCCTGTGCTGTCGGGGTACTGACGGTGCGGCTAAATTGAACGGATTCGCCGCGCGGAAATGGCCACGTTCATCGTGGCGGCAACTACACCGCTCTTGTCGGCGCCTTTGAGTGTATTCCTTTCCGCATCCTTCACACGCCCATACCGCACTTAAACTCAAAGAGTCTCTTGATGGCCGTTGTCCGCCCCCTGGCGAACCTGGCATCCCTGGCGGGCCTGACATGCCGGAAGTGCCGTGTCTCTCGTCATGATTTCGTGATTTGGTGATTTCCTAGAGAGGTGCCGTAAATCATGGTCATACGTGGGCTCTTCCAAACCAGCGGCCCCCCATCGCGCTAACAAGCAAGTTGCCCCACACGCAGCTCGCAGCTCAGTTCGCGCGAGTTCCGACATAACAATAGGGACAAACTATGCGGGAGTAAGCTGGCGAGCGTCAAGCACCGGATACGTGATGTGAGACTGACGTAGTACGTGCCTTTTTGGCGTTGTTGACTCCGTTCCGTTGGCCTTTTCGTCCCCGAGAGACCAGAAAATCACCCATCTCCCATATCCTCCCGCAGCGCTTGCTGCCCACCCCTCCTCATTCAAACTTCGCACGAACCCAACGCTGAGTTGGTCTTCATCTCTCACATGCCGCTCCCTTCATCGCCAGTATCTTCTTCTCATCGCGGCGTCCAAGGCCGGGCTGCCGCTGCCCCTCGCCCGCCCCTTACTACCGTCGTCGACAACAACGAACGCGGGCGCTCTTCTCGTCGTACGTCGACCGCTCGCGGGCGTAAAGCCTCCTACTCCTCCCGCCAGGGAAAAGGGCCCAAGAGAACTTCTGTCTCAGCCTTGGAGGTGAGTTTGTGCAGACGTACGCGTTGTGTCCTCCTCCCCGTCGCTTCTGACGTCGGGCTCTCTGTTAGTGTTGTTGCGTGTCTCGAGCGCAAGTGCTTGTTGGATCCACGGCTCAAGCCGCAGAAAAGCCGTGTCACACCCGAAGTTAATGCGTCCTTTCGCGCGAAATCCCGTCCAGCACCGCGAGAGAGATCTGGGCTGGCATGTGAGATGTTTTGAAAACCAGCACCATGTGTCAAAGAAAACGAAGTAGTCACTGCTGTAGGGGTGATTTGTATCTGTACAAGTCTGAACGGAGTGAACGAAACCCCCATCGTTCGTCGTTTCAATAGTGAGTATTCGGAGAATATGAGATGACGATACAGTCCCGCCGTCTTAGTCATTTGTGGGGTTACGAAAGAGAGGTTTGATTCCAAGTACAGTCGAGGTCCCTGTTTAAGGCCGCTTATTCAAGGCCGGTTGCAATGTTAAAGGCCGGTGAAATCCCTTGGCACCGATTTCGTCTTGTTTAAGGCCGGCAACGGCCTTAAACAGGGAGGTCCCTGTATAAGGCCGCTTTGGGCCTCTTCTCACACTCAATAAGGCCGGTTGTGACGCACACAGGCTCATTCAGCCACCTCTTGCAGTCCTACGTGCAGCATCCAGACCCCCACCTTCGCACGCGACAGAAAAACACCTTCCGCACCCCTACCACGCAACCACATGTTCAAATACAGCACATACTGCTGTAGGATAGATATGGGCAGTAAGAATATATTAATATATTCATCTGTAGGTTGCTGTACGTATGTCACGTACGTGCGGAGTAATCGTAAGTGCGGAGTAATTGATACCGGTTGGATATGTAACGTAAAACATGATGAGAAGTTCGGAACATGCTTTCCAGCGAGGAGTCTAAGCGAAGGGTTTATGCGTACAGTACTACAGTCAGTATTTATGCGAGGAGAAGTTCAGGAATAATTTGGGGTTGGCAAAGTGATGCCCACATCGCCCACTCCCAACTTCGCCCACCCTCTGATTCACAGCCCTGGCAGCAGCTGCGGTATGTTTGTGCGAAGCAACAAGTAAACACAGCAGTAAAGGGTATACCATGCCGTGTGCGGCTGGTGAGCAGTGTCTTTTGCAAGGACGGACGTCGGTAGCCCCTGACGGTCACGAATGTGCCTTCTATACTTGATGGTTCATTTTCGGCGAAGCTTGGGACTCTATTTTTTTTTGTCATGCATGTGTTAGCTTGTGTAAGATTGTAGTCGGGAGTGGGGGGGGCTGGATAGAAGCGAACTTGTTATATGTGACAAAAAAAAAAAAAAAAAATGGGCGAGGCGCTTGATCGAACATCGTTCAACTATACGGCCTCGTTGCTGCTCTACAATAAATGCCCACCCAAAGCGGGGCCATGACACTGAAATTGCGCACCCCTGCTACCTCCAGCCGGCATGTTGTAGGCCTTCTTCATGCCCATGTAAGTAAGCTCTGTGTAGAGTTTAGATGCATCCTTCAACAACTCAAGAATTCTCAATAAGGCCCGGGTACCGGCCTTATTGAGGAATTGTAGATCCTTTTTAAGACCGATATCGGCCTTAACAAGGGACGTTCCGAATAAGGCCGGGTGCCCTGTTTAAGGCCGGTATTTTGCCGTGGCACATGGCGGCCTTAAACAGGGACCTCGACTGTGTGTATGAGCCTTTGGAGGAGGTTGCGGGGTTGAAATATGGACAATAATTTCAAACAACCCCCTGAAAAAAACGTCCTGTCGTTTTCGTGTGATGCAACATCTGTGTGTAGTGTAAATCTAGGTGTATGCGGGTTGCCCTCTCTCTTCTTGCCGCTGCTTCACCACCCCACCCGGCGCCCATCCCCCGACCCCCGTAGTATATTTTCCTGGGTTTGAGAGATTTGCGTGCGTGGCAAAACTGCACGTACAGCAGTGGGCGGGTGTTGTACGCCTCATTTACCGCAGGTGTGTTTATTCGCACCCACTCTTTGGCGCAGTTGCACCTACCTGTGTTTCAACCCACACAAAACTACCTCTGGGTTTGTTGTTGTCCTCGAGATTCGGCCACACGTGGCTCCCCATTTTCATTCTCATAAACCGGGAGAAACAGTTATTTCACCAAAGCTCTTGCTGTAGTCTCGATTCGAAATTCGGGCTTCGCAAAGGGGGTCTTGAGAGACACTACCAACAGCAGTGTGCCGCGGGCCATTTGTTTGAGTATTGCCTCCGGCGCGTTTCCTGGTCAAAGTTGGCGACCGAACCAGATCCGGAAGCCATTTATTTCTCATGGTTTTGGAGGCAGACAAGAGAACGAGCTTTGCATATGTCTTGATCACAGAGCAGCATAGAGGCAACATCGGTTTGAGCGCTCTAGGCCTGACCCAAAATTCGGACCAGGTGCCTTCTTGTACACACATCTATATACTGCTGTTGCCGAATTTCAAGCGATTTAGTGCTCTCTCCAACCCGCGTCAGTCGATTAAAATAGTTTGCAGAAGCTACAAAATTGCGCTCGAAAATAGAGCATCTCCCGTGATTGTGCGGCACCGCTCACACAGCACAGCTCTGCTTTCGAAAGACGAATTACGGAATAAAACTGCTTGCGGACCAGGGGAACAAGCATCCTGAGGGTCCCCGCCCTTTTCGTTGCACCCAGGTGTCTGTGTGTGAAGAGCATCAGTTGTTGGCATGCACAGGGCACGACTTGATGCGGCAACAGGAAATTGGGAGGGGACGCAAAGACCGAAAATCCGAAAATCCCGAACCAGAAAAAACGCCTCGTATTTTAAACACAGCAGTGGTTTTTTTTGGGGGGGGGTTGGAACACAGGTGGCTGGCGATTTGGTTCTCCACCTCTCCGGAATTTGCTTACGGATAAACCACCCCCAACCTTGTCGCGCCTTTCACCCCGTGCTCTCGCAGGAGTCAGACCTGGAGGACTCCGCGTCGGAGTTCCACCCCTCCGACTGCCAGGCGGACACAGACAGCGACGATGAGTGCACGCTGGACACCCACGACGACCCGCCGAGCCCCGATCTCCTGGCTAAGCCCAAGCGGAGGAAGCCGGGCCCGCCGATGCGCTTCGTCGACGACAGCCCTCGCCCGTTCACGGACAGCCCTCGCCCGGTTACCAAGGACAGCGCCGCGGGCGACGCCGAGGCCGCATCTCGCACCAGCGGCATGATCGGCGGCGCTCGGCGCTCATTCCACCCCGGGGTGGGTGGGTCTTCCTCTCGCGGCGGGGGCAGGGCTTCTCATCACCGTCCTCGTCAAGCTGTTGCTCGTACACAGCAGTCAGCACCGAGTTCCGGTGCTTCCCGCCCGCCTTCCTCCGCGGCTTCGACGACTGCTCGCCCCGCGACGACGGTCCAGCGTCCCACCTCTGGCGACACGGACGGACCTGGACACCGTGGGGAAGGCGGCCCTTCTCGCCGTGCGTCCGACCCCGGCAAGTCCGCTGCCGCCGGGGGGCTGTCGTCCCAGGGACGCGGCAGCTTCACGTCTTCCCGAGGGCGTGCCGTCGGCTACGCCTACCGCGAGGGAGCGGCACCAGCCACGGCGGGGGGAACTGCTGTCTCATCTTCGGCCCCGCCCAGCTTCACCCGGATCGGGGGAGGGTCTTCACACACGCCGGCAGGAGGCGGCGGACGTGTGAGCTCAGTGGCCATCACCTCGGACATGAGCGGCGAATCAGTGTACCAGGCACTGGTTGCTGTGGGCATCTCGCTTTTGTCCAAGGCGGCCCTCCTCGGCATTCTCATGTCCGCCGTGGCACCCTCACACGAGGAGTCACGCCAGCATGTGGTGAGCGTCTTCGTAGACTTTTTTATTTTTTTTTATTCATGCGCCTTTAATCTTGGCGCGCCATTCTTGCTATTCTTCGCGTGTTCGGGTTAGCAGGCCTGATTTCTTGTGGTACTCACGTCCTGTATCTTCACTCTGCCATTGATTCGCGTGTGATGTTGTGCCCCCTCCTCCTACTCCTCCTCCTCGAGTTGCTTGACGTTGACACGAATGAACGGTAACCATCACCCGCTCCGCGGCACGTGTTCATACATTGTTGTGGGCACTGATCTCCCGCCCAAACGTCCGCGGCCAAATCTCCGTTTTCTGCCGACCTTTTCCCGTGGATCGGTAGGTCAAGTCCAACACGCGCAAGCACGAAAGAGAGCCGGTGAAGGGGGAGCGTCCGTCCAATGGGATCGTCGCTGCCATCTTCTGCGTGTACAGCTACGCCTTCGTCGGCGCCGCGAAGGTCCAATTCTCTGGGGGGCAGAAAGGCGACGAGACAAACAACGTCTTCCTCGCGGCGGTGTCGCACGTGTGGGTAGCGGCCCGGCAAGGAGACCCCGACTGGCTCGGTAAGCTTTTCCGCGAGTTTTTTCACTGTTTTCAGTCGTTCGGCTGGTTGAGGCGTTTTTTCATCGGTCGAAGAATGTGGAACCGTATTCCGTAGTTGCGATCATGCATTAGGCCCGTAACGTGTACAATAGGTGGTGATATCATGGGAAATGGGATGCCCCGCCCTGAGTGTGTCTATCCTGACCTACGGGATAGCAATCCCCATCCTACCCAGCGTGTAATCTTGTTCGCCGACGTTTGTGTTGCCGGTCTACGAGCTGTTGGCGCGGCGCGCACCGCGCCAAGCGTTTAACAGAAAGCCTTACCATGCAAACCGTCGGACGCACATGGCCCGCCCTCTCGTGGACCATATGGCAGCCCAACGAACATGTATGTGGCGCCCGTCGTGGCCAACCACCCAGCACATCATTGTTTTCGTGCGCACCGTTTCTGCCGGTGATGCCTTTCGACACCTTGACGTAAACTAATCACCCGTGTTCTTTGTTTGACATATCTTTGCTTCTCGTACTGCCGTTCCAGACAAGTTCATCACAGCCATCGCCTCTGCTCGCGCTACACTGCACGGGATCGTTCACGAGGCCCGCGTCCCGCTTGCTCTCGGGCTCATCCAGAAGGAATGCCTGGAGAACGACCCCTTCACCCTGGAGGACATCTTCCGGCGCGCTCGGGAGCGGGCGCGCTATCTCAAGCCGCACATGAACGCAAGTACTCCGTCTCACTGGTCGACAACACCGACACTAGGCGCTGTGCACTTGTCGCACAGCTAAACC